ATGTAAGCTATCCCAAATAGTTAGAATTTGTTTTCCTTGAAAGTGTTACATATCAACATATATTTTGTTTATGCTGTATTTAAGAAAACTGTTATTTTAGAAAATTTAGTGTTAATATTTTTGTTGGCATTATTTTTTCTTAATGGTCTTCAGAAAATTAAAATTTTTTAATACTATAAATTTTACAGTAACAGCCCTCAGAAGGACAAATGCATAACATGAAAATTACTATATTGTAAAGCAATCTGAAAATACATTTCTGGAGCACAGTTTTAACTTCTTACAACTTGTTAGATGGAAATATGTTAAATCACTGTTAGTTTATAATATTGCCTAGAAATCTTACACTAATGTAGGTTACACCTTAGTATGTACGCTCACAGTCTGCCATACAGAAACTACAGTCTAAACAGACAACATGGGAAAAGAACGAGAAGGACGAAATGTTATTTCCATCAAAAGCGGGAACTGTGTTACCGAGAAGTTCACACAGGAAGTTTGTAGCCCAGACAGAATTTGGACCCACCCACACCAGTGGTGAAAAGCTATGTGACCCACTCTCACAATGAAGGAGCTGCTTTACTGTCATGCGACTGAGTCATATAACACAGGAGATGATGACTAAAGTCCCTTTAGTCCCTCATCTAAACCGCAAAATCAATCTTTAAAATCTAATTAAGGAATCTGGAATAGAAAAATGGCAAGTCTGAAGGACAGAACAATTACATTCTTTCAGAGTGACAGAGATCACCTGTAGAAAGGGCAAGATTTGAGCCTAGATTTCCTAGTGCCCAGTCCAATATAATAAAAAAACTGTCTCATTTGGACACAGTAAAAAAGACAGTGTTACCACCCTTTTGATATCAAAAGTAAGAGGTATTCCTTTTTGATACTGGTAGGTCTCATTTTAACAGGCCTTAACACTATTGTTGAATCAGGACTGCAGTATGTTGGTTTGAATCACCACCATTCAAGCCAGAAAGTTTTTTTAGGTAGGGGTGGGGGTGGGGTGAAAGAAAACACTTTAAGACCTCTTTAATCTTTTAAACACGAAAGCAGTCAGAGATCTTTTCACCTGTGGAGTGTAAAACCCTATCCTCTGCGAAACACAATAACAGCAAAGAGCAGGTAATAAGTATTATAGGTACAATCATTCACAAATAGCTTTACTGAAACATTTAGAAATATTTTGAAGAATAAAATAAGACCTGAGAGTCACAAGTTATGATATACTCTGCAGTGTGCCCAAAAGGCCCAGTCCTGTCCGCATCCATTAGGCAAGCAGTAACCTTTGTTCAAGGAAAAGATTTGCACCAGTACATCAAGCCAATAGGTGGCCAGGAAATGTGGTCAGAGCAGGCGTAGGAGACAAGGATTTTAGGATGTCTCTCTAGTGGATACAGAGTTACTGGCTACATCTACGCTCTGCAGTTATGTGCATCTCATGCTTTGAAGCCATCTTCCTGCTCCAGAGGTCTCCTTTGTTTTTCCTGCCCATCCACAGTTACAAGATCTGTGTCTCTGTCCTCGACCCACATCCCACTACCTTTCACATTCCCGCCCATACCTCCTTGCTCTTCTAATTTCTGCCAATCCTTTCTCCCATTCCACCTCTAGTAACGTTTATCAGTCTAAGCTCTGCTCCTCACAGCACTATGTTCCACCTCTTCTGCTGGTGTCTTGTAGCTAGTTATAAGCATTCTTATTTTCTTCTTGTCAATGCTGGTCTCAAGCACCTACGAAAGCAAATCTGGGCTTTTTCTCATACATGCACTGACATATCACTAGATCATATCTAAATAGTTGAACACATAAGCAAATTATTTTGATAAATGCCTGCACTTTGATATTAGTCACAGCAGAATCAGGATTGAATGGTCCAGTTCCTACTGAACACAAAATATTTCTTACGGTCTTCATTGGTCTAATGTTTTTATTAGTGATACACAATCCCAAACAGAACCCGACATGCTTATCCCTAACTGTATTTATACTATAATAGGAGTCAAAAGTTGCCTGACAAAATGCTAATATTTTTCTCTTCTACACCACTTCAAATCTGAGTATCCTAAAACACATTCCAGAGATTATTAAATTTGACCTCACAAAAGGTCATGTGATGCTGTATTGTAAATAGGTAAAATTCATACAGTAAATAAGATGGATTGTGAACATACATAATAAGCAATTTATGACTCAGAAGAGGCCCATTTTGAATCACTTACCCTTATCACTTACCATGACCGTAATTGAAATATACCCGTTTTACTTCAAGGTCAAACTTAAACAAACGAGGCTATGAAAAAAATCCAGTGTAACAGTAAATGACTGACTGCCATCCGCTGTGCCTTAAATCTCTCCTTTTGTCAGATTAAGGACCTCTAACTATAGATTAAATGTAATTCTTGTCTCAAAAAAATCAAGCATTCTCTTTGGTAGAGGAATGAAACAACAGACGAGCAAAGAGCCTAATACTTTACCATATCACATTGCTTCCTTGAACCAAATAAAAACCATTCACTTCAGTTCAATGACTCTTAAGCGCTACAACCTGACCCCAGGTTTGGACAGGGGGTAAAGATGGCAAAGAAAATTTTAAGCAGAAATGGAGTTGTAAACTTATTAGTGTCTTTAGTATTCCAAACCAAACAAGAAATCCACTCCTGAAAAACAAGCATTTCTACCTAATGTAACCTTATTAATTGTTAAACTATTTTAAAATACGGTTTAACAAATATTTTATTTCAAATGAGGAGCTATCAACTCAAACATTAAAAAAATCTACTATAAATACACAGTCCTAGGACTAACTGAACTTGGGAAGCAATAGTTCCAAAGCAATGCACATTGCTCAACTGGAGCGTAGGGAAGGGACAAATGTTTCACCCTATTCTAATTTTACCTGCTCCAAATAATGTAATGATAGGTTGATATACTTGGCTTCTGTCAACAAATGACCTCCAACTCCAGTTTTTGCAACACGCTCTGATCCAGCAAGGTCTACTAAGTGTAACTTGGAGCGTCGGATGGTTGCAGATCCAGGTTCCTTGCTGGAGATGTGAATAGTGAAAATGCAGTGAGATCGGGTTGAGGCTTGATTCATTGGTGTCTATGACAAAGAGAAAGAAAGATTCTAAATGTTGATTTAATAAATAAATTTAGTTTGGTATAGCTCAAAAATGAAGAAACTGAAATCATCTATCCAATTTGTAAGCCATTACAGCTGTGACAAATATGCAAGAAGAACCCAGCAGGATTTGCCTGGCAGGTACTCTCACCCTGACCAAATACTTGGATAGCTTTAATCTGGGCATATTTTACTGCAAGCAAGCCTATGACTTTGTTCCAAGGTACTCTAACAGTGTGAGGAACAGTGCTAGAAAAGGGGAACTTGATGAAAGGGAAATCTACTAATTCCTGATCTTCAAGAGGTTACTGTTTTCCCTGATTTCATATTACCAATCTCCCTTCCCTCTCCTTCCCCCTTTTCTATATTTTCTTACAGTAAAGTCAGTCTGGGAGATTGCAAAGATAAGCAGCTGTGACAATCACCTCTGTGGACCCAGAGACAGCAAGATGGCCTACCAGCACATTTCATTAGAAGGCTAGAAATACTCTACAAGTGAGAAAGAAGGGAAAACATAAGTTAAAACTACTTTGTAAACTAAAATACATAACAAAACATCTTGAAGGAAATGGAAAACATAGTTGAGCTTTCTTGTTAAACATTCCCTTCCATAAAACTTTCAGGAACATAAAACTTTTCTAAAGCTTCATATAGTATCCTTCTTTGTTTGTTGTTGTTGTTGTTGTTGATTTATTTTCTGTTGTTGAGACTGAACTAAGATACTAATTGAAAAAAATGATATAAATCTTAAGAAGCAGAAAATGTATTGTTAGTCCTCATCAGGACTTGGAGAAGGCACATGGGTTTCAACATTAACAACAGCAGACCTCCTATAAATGATCTTGGCAATTGGTACAAAATCAGATCTTTGGCTAATTTGTATATTTCCAGTTCACAAATAATTGATTAAAATAAACAACACCAATTTCAAACAACAACAGTACTTCAGAAACCATTCTACTGGAAAGAATGTCAACAAACATCAAGCTGCATGGCCAATTTGACTAGAAACATGGAATATGTTTTCTCTACTGTATAATGGCATTCTATTCTTTATAGCCTGGCTTGATAACTTTCTAAATTTCTTTTACAAATAATGCTTTTTAATGCAATGCACTGTACTATGTACTGTATTCTAACATTAATTCTAAAATTATGATATGAAAAGGTAGATTAAGACCTATATACTATTACTTCGAAGTGTAACAAAGAAAGGATAAGGAAGCTTTATTTTAACCGCCTGATTTGATAGCCTATCAAATCATATGGGCAGAACATAAAATTAGCATTTGTAGAAAACTGCAAAAGCACAAGGCAATAACTTAATTACTATATAGACCTGCACCTGTGCAAACAAGCAGGTGGCGCACAGGAACAGCTTAAGCCTGTAGCGTTGGGGAAAATTTTGTAATGAAATTACAACCTTAGCACTATTTGTTTTTGGGCTGCAGTTCCTAATAAGACCAAACTCAGAGGGAGAGGGAAAAGAGTTTGAGCATTTAGAGTTACACAGACAAGGAATTTTGCAGACAAGGCATTGACTCAACTTAACTGCCAGTTTCTAAGGATTATTTCATAATCCTGTATAGAGCAGCAGAGTTCAGTTATATGACATGCTGTCTTCAGGGGCGAAGCTGGACAAATGAAAGGGCAGTGAGATGTGGCATGGGAACAAAAATAAACAGGTTTGGGGGAAGGTATAGGCCATTTGAGCTTTGAACAGCAAGAAAATGCACATCCCAACCATATCTAAAATGCAGTTATACCAAAAAAAGTTATATGCTGTTAAAACACTTTATTCAGCAATTCTGATTCTACGAATAATTGAAGCCAGCCCCACTTATTTTACTAGGAAATCTATGATTTTACTACTTGCAGCTCTGGGAAGAAGGACTGGATATTTTATTTTTCCAGCTCACAATCCTCAACAGAATTAACATTTAAGGATATTTCGCACTACAGTCATGGCATCGGTTACACTGTAGTGAAGACAAGTCCAAGCCAGATCAAATATTAATACTAGTCTAGCTATGGAAGCACAGAGTTTAGTAAAGGCTACTAAACCAATGTAAGAAGCAGAAGAAATTATCATGCTTCATCATAAGCAATAAGTTGCACTACACAGCAAAACCTCACATTTTTCAAAATGTGCTTCCAAGAACACCCGTTTAACCCCTAAAAGGCAGAAAAATTACAAAGACATAAAAGAAAAGAATTTCAGGACCCTGGAGTTCCAAAAGCTAGCTCAGGGCAATATTAGGCCTACAAGGTCTTTATTGCCTATGGCAATACACTAGCCACAATTTGATTTTCCATGTCACAGGCAAACTCGGCTGGGCTGGTCATTAGAAATTCCATTGCTTTTCTCTCCACAACTTCTTTACATGTAAAATGAGCAAAGCTGATCTGGAAGCCATTGGCTTGAATCCTAAACTGCTATTTTTATAAAGTCCTTCTTCAGAGTAGAACCATGATTCAACCAATACCTCTTTTTTCCAGTACGATTCTCTCTCTACTTTGCAATTCATTTATATTTAGTTAAAGCATTCCCACATATAGAAAGCTCCATTAGAAATCTTGCAGGAAGTGTAAGGCAATAAAAATCTAAACTGTTAAATAGGATGTGATTATGAAAAGTTAATTGCAACCATAACCCCCTACACTTGGCTACTTGTACCACACAAGTAGGTACAAAGCAACAGAAATGCGAACTTGTCAACATCTTTAGCCTTAAAAGTAGGGCCGCTTTTTTTTTTTTTTTTTTGCGCTATCTTCCATGTGAAACTTCACAGAGCATCACCATTCAGCTATCCATAAAGTTTAAAAACAAATAAACAAACAATCTTTTGGAGAGGGTCTCAGAGCCAACTAAAGGGTTCCATTAGTGGCTTTCAGAGCTCATCTTGGTTTGTTAGCAATACTCCATCCCTATGTATATGAAATCACCCTCAAATGAATTTGACGTGATGAAAGGAGGGGAAAAAAAAGAGGGGAGTGGTCTGCCTCTCAGCAGATGGTTGCCATTTTGAAGGCTATATATAGAATAACAGATGAGCTGCAGTTACTTACAAAGAACTAATTTCTTCCAGGAATTCTGTGATATCATTGACCACAGAAGCAGACTTCAAATCCTTTGTGATACCATGTGAACAATACAAAGGAATTAATTCCACTGATGCTGCCCCTTTGTGCTACGGTAAAACAGGAATCCAATAATGTGTATCTTTCAAGATCACTTTTTGGTAAATCATCAGTTCTTGCTCCGATGTAGGAAAATATATATAAGAGATTTCAAGGACATATGGCCCAGTCTCCTTTTTCTATAGGACCAGGACATTTCTGTGTTTGCTGAAATTAAATGAAGTCTGTAGAAACTTCGTGTATTAAACCAGTATGTATGCCATGCTGTGGCTGCAAGCTTAAACACAACCTGTAGAAATGTGAAACAGAATAAAAAATGAAAGAAAGACTGATGTTACTGATCATGTCATATTAATACCAAAAAAGTTTTGGTAAACAGATCAGCAGAAATTCCCAGTATTTTACATTTTATTATGTATACATATGTGGAATTTCTGGAACTTTTGAAACAGATTCTTTCAGGAAAATTAAGCCAGTTGTGCTTCCTGAAAAATCTACCACACAATTTACAGGCCATTCTCATTTGTATTTCTGATAATCCCCCTACCTCAGTAGAGGTACACCTTTTACTTATGTTACCCCAAGTTTTGAGAATTACTTGCATAATTTCATAAAATACATATATTCAAAAAGAATTAAGGCTGTATATATGTGACATTCCCCATAGTGCAAATCACAAGAAAGAAATGTCTTCAGGGTATGACTGAGAGGTGTTTGACATCATGTGCACACTATATTATAATCAGTCTCACAATTTCCCTTCTTTCTACTTACAAGATCAATTTCTTTCAGTGCAATACAAAAACAATTGTTACTTTATAGTAACTGTAGTTCTTTGAAATGTCTTCCTCATATATATACATATAGATATATGTATATATACATATAAAATACCTGCTGCACGATATTATGAAATTACCCACATGCTTCAGATCATAGTATTTTAGCCCAAAGAGTTTGATGAGTAGCTTCGAAAAGACAAAATATAGGTGGAATAGGGAGCCATGTTAAATATTTTTCCAAAATAATATCCAGGTATTATAGGACTCTATAGAAGCTGAACAGAATGTTTTGAAATATTTATGGACAATATATTTCAAAAAATTACAGTTCCTGTGAAGTAAGCAGCAGTTTCTTTTTTTTCAAGTGCTAGCTCTTATATATTCCATTCTTATCCATTATTAGTGATAGAAGAAAAAGCAAGGGAGGATTCTACTTAAAGGAAAACATATAGCCCAGCTGTATTGCAAGAAGCATCCGATTTGGATGGATGCAAATCCACCCAGGGTTTAGCATAAAGAATAAGACCTCATAAAAGTACAGACTGATTGTTTGAGCGTTAGATCATATGGTTTTTAAGCAGCAGAAGTTGCTGGAGTCGAAGTGGAATGCATAAGATGCAAGACTTAATTTCCTATTGTTAGTCATCTTAAATCCACAAAAACCTGTGGGAGTTCTACCATAGAGGGACTTCTACCATACTATACAAGAATTTATGTATTTCCCAAATCTTTCGTTGTTGTAGTTGCTACTAAAAACGCAATTTTCACTAAGAATAGAAAGGAACAAGATGCTACTGGCTTAAACATAGTTCTTAATAAGTGACATCCTAAAAAGAAGAATGCTTCTTAAATAGGAGAAAACATACGGAAGACTGTATGAAAACCACCGTTAGACCAAAGGAAGCCACTACTATCGGGAAGAATATTATGCTGATTATGGTTGCCAAGTATACTCAAGCTACAGAAAACAGAAAAAGAGTTCAGGACTGCTGAGACAAAAGATTTCCAGGTGATAAATACAGTCATTCAGTTTAACTGCAAGTCTTCTACACTTGGCAG